AAGTATAGACATATCACAATGAAATCCCTTTGTACAATTAATACATGCAAACAAGATAATACTACTATTAGCACTTCTTTCAGTTTGCACAATCCTCTTTTAAAGAGATTGAAAATCATGGTCAGGAAATAAATAGGCTTCACTCAATGGATTATTTAAAAAGTCAACACAAGTTTTGGGAGACTTTTCTTCACATTAGAAGCCTGACTTAAGTACTTCAAATAAACTGAAGATTCTCCCAAATACCTTTGTTCAAGAGAGACAGTGGGTCGCTGAAGAAAGAGAACTGAAGACTGCTAAATGCAGGGCTCAGGGGGAACAGTATAAATGCTGAAGTTGGAGCAAAGTTAGAGGCAACTTTAGCTGCTGTTTAGGCAGCATTGTGCAGAATATGGCAGATGCCAGCACCTTCCACTCATGTCTTGCCTCCACTTTGAAAAAATCTTGTTTACGCTTTCACACAAATACTCACCAACATTTGTATTCCTGCTATTGCCACAGAAAGAACTTCTCTCATGAATTCCTAACTCAGTAGAACCTCTGCCAAAATTTGCTTTTATTTTTAAACTCTTTTCTGGAGGAGATTTTACTCATGTAGCCTGATAGGTAACTCTTTTTCATAAGAAAAATATTGTACGGGCAAAAGGGACATGTTTCATAGTATAATTGCTTGCAATTAGCTATGTCATGAAAACTAAGGCATTGGATCTTCAATAAGGTCTGAGACAGGAAATAGAAATACTATTTGATATTACTACAGTTGAATGAGGTGTTTTGTAAATACTAACTAGGTCAAGTTGGTTGTTACTTCTGTTTAAATCTTGTATATTCACACTGATCAGTTATTAAGAAGGGGCAAGTGAACTCTCTTACCATAATTCACATTAGTTCAAAGTAAGGCAAAGGAACTGGTGTCTGGGTGGGTGAGGGTGCTGTTCCCAGGAGTGACCATGAGCCTTCTTAAAATTTGCTTAAGCCCTTTAAGCTTCCCAAATAAGTATGGTATATAAATAAAAGCAAAGTGCTTGCTGTAACAACACAGCTTCAAGGCCAATCTCCTTCTCATTCTCTTCCCTACTCCTTTTAACCTTACTGCCTTCTTTATCCATATGCATTTCTCCCTGTATAAAATTCTGGAGATACTGCTGGTGGATAGTGGTACTGAATTAGTGGTCTTATATATTTTTCATCCTTCAATATTATAACACAAAGGTATGGGCGTATTCCTGAGAAAGTGCACAGAGAGACATAGATTATCACGTTTCCAGCTTCTCAGTTAGAGAAATGGCTCAGGAATTACCTGCATCATGGTATACACCCAGGGTTCAAGATGATGATGAGTTCAGGTACCCACATTTTTGCTAGAGATATAGTCTGGTTTTCTATTTTGCAATTCACAGCTTACCCAGACAACTGAGAATGACTGAGAGCTAAACCTGTTCTCTGCAGGCATCTTTGCGTGTCTAGACACCTCACAATAAACTTTCATCTTTTGAATATCTATTTTTAAAATTTAGCTTGAATACTAAATTGATAGATTTGTAAACTTCATGTCACTGTTTAAGTTATATCAGTGAGGTTTCATGGGAGTTGCTGTTTACAGATTGTTGAAGATCCCTCAGGCTGCTGCATGTGGACAGTATCCTGAATTATAGCACAGAAACTTAATACGTACCTGAGGAATGATAGGGGTCTTAAATAGGCAGTCATATTTACTAAAGAAACCTAGGTTTTTCTTAGATTGCCTACCTTAGCAAGACAAGAAATGTCAGGGTGACAGAGTTTAAGTGGCTCTTTTCAGATATATCACACTAATTCTCTATATTTAAATGCAAAAGGCCTTCCAGGAGCTATTTAATTAAGTGAAAGTAAGTCTAGTCCTTTTGGAACCAAATGGTTCAGAGAGCAAATACATATCAGCAAGTGAGGAAGTGGGGAGTTATTATGTGCCTCATGGACATGGGAACACTTTATAACCCCATATCAGGGATCCTAAACAGTGATTGGTTGACAAAATGATCAAACTGAGTTTAAATTTCAGCAGGTACAAAATTGTCATCTGAAAATCCAGGACAGTGCTACTCCCAGGCTTCAAAGAGAAAGATAAGAAAATCTGGATTCAAAATTCCTTTGAAGGCTGTTAAGGTAAGACGGAACATCCCCTTTAAGGAGAATAGACTGATCCCTCTAGAAGAAACCTTGAATTTCAGAGAGGAAGGCAACTTGATTTTTAAGAAGTGGATAATCCTTTGTTCATTCAATTTTTCTTTCCTTTTGACTTTTCATATCCACAGTACATGTTAAAAGATAATTGAAAACTCTGTGGTGATAAAATCTGATAAGATGCTGCACCACTGAAGAGTAGGACTTTTTTCCACAGCCAGTATGTTGTTAAAATACTGGTTGCTTATCAGAAAAAGTACACATAAGATGAAGTCAATATTTTGAGCTTAAAATATGAATAACAAAATGAGTGATTGGAATGTTTTCTGTGAATTCATTAAAGTTCCATTGTTGTGATTTTATCCAAGAATAAAGAATCTTATACGGAAAGCCACTTTTTCAGCCTTAGCATTGGGATGGAATGGAAAAGGAACCAAACAATCTCTTTCTTTTTTCAAACAGTAAAATAGTGACATTAAAACACTGACTCTTACTAAGAAATAAATAGGGATTTTGAAATTTGATTGAACCTATTATGCTACATTTGCTTCAAAATCTCGCCAATCCTCACAGGTAAAAGCTCTGTGAGAGAAGGGCCCAAGTCTGTTTCCAGGGTTCAGCATCTGCCCTATATTAGGTCTGCAGATGTTTGTAGACTGCCTGAACAAATCCCAGTTTATATTAAAAACCTTAGCCCCTATAAAGTCTACTGTTGGCCTGGGAAATTAATTTTTTGGCATTTGCTGTTTGAATTCTAAAAGACAGATCAAAACACTTCTACTGAGAATGTCTAGAGATTTTGACTTCTGAGTCACACATACTTTCTGTTTTAAGCATCATGATAGGTTTGGGAAAAAAAACTGTATTCCTGAAAAACTGGCAAAAACTGAGGTGAAAATTTGACAGTTATCTAGTCACTTAGATAAGCTGATAAAAAATTAGATAACCCAAATTTAGAAATGCATCCCAGGCTTTGAAACAAGGCTCTAATTAGGCTTTACTTTTCACTCTCTTCTTATTTACCTTCTAAATTAACCTGACAGTGCTAAATCTCATTTCTTGTGTGACAATAAGTGAGTCTAATGACAATTAGGCTGTTTCCACAGGGATCCTTTAAATCATCTCTCCCCCTTGGCAAGCAGTGATTGACATCTCCGTGACTGCTCTGGAGTGGAGCTGAAAGGGGAGAAGCAGTTTAGAAGTGAGGTGTAGGTAGTGCTGATCTTAGGACCCAGTACCTTTCCAGCCATGGTGGCTCCTCCACATGGCAGCGTGGCGGGCTTTCTGCAGAGTCCATGTGATAATTAGGTGGGAACTGCAAAGGACAGCATAACATTTGCTTACTAAACAGCTGACCTTCAAATTCTGTACCCAGAGCTCTGCATTATACTTGTCCTGAGGTTAAAGCTTCACTTTAATCTATAGCATTGTCGAAGGAGGTATAGCTATTCCTAGATTTCCCTGAACAGCTAAAAGAGTAAAGACTGTTTTTATTAGGAATTATGTCCTCTTTCCTGTGAGGAACCACTAATAACTTTTATGACATAGACACTGAGGTTTTATTATATTTCCACTATTATCATTAAATCCAATCAAAACTACTTTATGACATTCAGCATTATAATTCTGAAATCTGGTGGGAGGTGCTAAAATGGAATAAAAGACTTCCTCACTACAGTAATAGTACCATGATATTAAGCAATCCAGTTTTTTATTCACCTTGATTATGCAATATCTATTCCTACACATCAAAAATACGTGTTAGACCTCTCTGAATTTGCATTGTAATGGGATGAAAGGTCGTATTTTCAGAAATGCCTCAGAATAATTGCTATCATTAATTAGGAAATTGCAAAGTACCTGGAATGGTGCTGGGCACCTTTGTGCTAATAACTCACCAATGGGATTTTACGATGTCTATTTCTGTGCTTTGCATTGGAAGACAGTGATAACCAAGACACTCTCCTGGCCCTCAGGAGCTTATGGTAGGGAAGAGGAGCATATGAGTGACCAGACAATTTTAAAACAGTGTAATGTGTTACCAGCAAGGTGTGCAGAGGCTGTAGGGATGTAAAAGGAGAGACACCAAATGCCCTTTCATCCTCAAATTTCATACTCCATCCTCGAACTCTTCTGCTGGTTGGTTACTGGCATGCAACTTCATGTGCCCTTGGAAATGGAGTCAGAGAAGATTTCTTAGAGATAATTCTTCTGCTAAACCTTGGGACTCTCCTGAGGTGCAGTATTATTATTATTATTATCCCAGTTGGAAGAAATGAAAGCTTAATAAAAGCTACTTAAAGTTCTCACAGTCAGTAGTTGAAATGAATTTGAACCCAGGTCTCTGAATCCAAACTCCTCAAGTCCAAGCTCCTTTTGTCCAGACCCTTCTTCTTACAGTCTGGGGTAGCCCAATTCTACAGATTAGGTGTAGGAATTGCGAGTGTTTTGGCTTTTAAGTACAACCTTAGCAGAATTAGTTAACACTCCATTAAAGCTGTTCAGGAGACAGAGATGTTATCACCTTCAATAACAGCAGAGGATACCATGGATGTGTGCTTCCATTACTGTTGTCCTCCATTGGCAAAGCAGGAAAAGTCTAGGAAGCTCCATCAGTGCTAAGCCTGATGTGACACCAGAGGTCTTCATAACCACAACAGGTTTATTTTGGAACATGGTAGCTCTTCTTGTGTTGTATACATACTCCTTACTTTAAAAAAGAGCAAATGGTACAGACAAAAATAATGTATTACTGTGGTTATGATTTTGCACTTTATAAGTAATTTTGTGTTGTTCTTTTTTAAAAAAACAGCCATTGATTATTTTTCCTCAGGAAGATGAAGATAATTATATATATTTGCATTTGGGCAGCTGCATGGGCCATTCCAGTAAGTATCTGTCTCTGCAAACTTCCTTACTTTGTCCTTTGAAATAACATTAGAACACTATTTCCTTAAGGTTTTGCAGATAAGTTGAGTACAAACATTAAGATCTTCATTAAAGGTTTTACAAGGTATCTTTGGGTCTCAACAAAAATGCACATGGGACTCTATTCACGCTCCCATTCTGCCAGTTTAAACTCATGGCTTGACAGAGGATTATTGTTTTAAAAATTTATGCAAATCAATTTATATTCAGTACTCAGATATTTTGTCCATTTTTGTTTCATGCTGTGTGAATTTTATTTCAATATCAAAAAAGCCGGTGTTGTTTAGGAAATCTTAAAGAAAGAACAATAAGAAAGCAGAATTTTTCAATGTATGAGAAAACCAATGTTTCACTCAAGAGTTATTACTTATATATATATGTTCACTGTGGAAACTTTGGAATATAGGAATAAACAGATAAAGAGGCATTAGGAAAATTATCCCATTTATAATTTTATTATCCGGACGCCATGGTTAACATTTTCATATGCTTTCATAATATCAAATATTTTGTTATCTCTGTAGATAAGGATTTTCTTAATTATTTCAAGCATACTTTTGCTGAGCCTAGAAGTAGTGTATTACTTGATTTTGCTTCTGCACTGGCTCTGGGCACACTCACTGCTGTCTTAGTAGTTTTGACAAGAATCATACTTTGGGGTAAGCACTGTGCTACTTCAGGAGACTTCCAGGAGCAGAACATCAAGGGCCTATCTCCTTGTCTTTATAAAGGACCATTTCCCATACTTGAGATGAATAGTCTGGCTAATCAATAAAATTGGTTATAACACAATGGAAAAAAATCTGTGTGTCCAGTTTAAAGTTCTACATAAGCTCCATAACAAGCTGCTTTTGTGTTCTCCCACTTTGATCTTTGTGTTATGTCTTTTCTTCTATATTGAAGGAAAAATGTGTACACACGCACATGTGCAGTGATATATGCAAAATAAGGATCTGTACGATATCCAGTGTTTTCACTTTGATAGGTTCCTGAAATAAACTCGTTGGAGAGACATGCTGTTCAAAAATCTGTGAGCTTACCTTTTGTAGCAAAATCAAAAGTACCAGTTCAGGTATGTGCTATAAAATGTTTTTCCTTTTATTTTCTATTTTCAAGCTGCTTTTGTATCCTTTAACTTCCCTCAAAATTCCACCCATCTTTTCAGTTTGCTTCACTTCAAGATGATACAGCTGATTTTGAATTATTTCTCTTTTCCAGAATGGGTTAATTGTCAATGACACCGCTAAAGAAAGTGGCGATTTCCTGCACGAAAGTGAAGTAGGAAGGCAGCAGTATACCAAAGATGGTTACAAAGGGGATGGTGCTGTGTGGGCAGAAGTAGGAGAGAAGAAATCTGGTACACATTTCATTTTAGCAAATGAGGAGAGGGGTATTGAGGATGAAAATGGGGGCCTAGGAATCCCAGAAACATATGATCAGGATGGGACACATGGAAAAGAAGATAATGGCACAGCAAATGGTATCAGGGGAGAAGTGAGCACTATTGACCATGCTGGAGCTGCAAATGAGAGCTCTTTTAATGATCAGAATATAAAAAATGGGAATGGTGGAGATGCAAGCCAGAATGAGGATGCTACTGTTGTCCGAGAAAATGGACCACAAGTAGCCAGAGGTAATAGTTCAAACCATGAAGATGAAATAAATGGGAATGAGGGTGACACAAGTGAAATAACATCACAGAGTGAAGGTGAGGGGGATGGGAATAAGGAGGCTGAGGTGACACCAGGCAATGGAGATGCTGGCCTGGAAAATTCCGAGGGGAGTCCTAGTGGAAATGGAGCAGAGGAGGATGAAGACAAGGGCTCTGGTGATGACGAAGGTGGAGAAGGAGGGAATGGAAAAGAGGGCAGTGATAGCAGCAAGGGTCAGGAAGGTCACTCTCATGGAGAAAAAGAAGACACAAGAAAAGGTCAAAATTCAATGAGTAGTGAAGATGATGACTTTGAAGACAAGGAAGATGCCCATAATGACAATGATGGTGACAACAGCTCCATCAGTAAGGAGGGTTCTGATTGCTCTCCAGAAGGAAATGGTGGCCAAACAATACAGGACACCCATGAACCCAGTCACAGAGAAAGTAATGGTGTGGAAAACGGATTCACCAAACAATTGGAACTAAGTGCTATTGAAAAAAGCCAGGATAAGGTTGGTTTTGAATCTGATTTCTTTCAGTGGCAGTTTAAATTCTTCCTTTCTGCCCTCTGATGTTAGCCCTAAAATAAATCATGATAGGCATTCAGCAATTTGTCATCTATATTGCATGAATATTTATTGAGAAAGCTAGAGTCCTCACTAGAATTTGATACAGAACAATTTAAAAAATATCAGGAATTTCTGAAAATTTGGTGTCAATTCTAGAAAAGTCTGATGGTAAATAATGATTTCATCATGTAACTTTTTTTTTTTGGTGCACTGGGGTTTGAACTCAGGGCCTCATGCTTGCTAGGCAGGTGCTCTACCACTTGAGCCACTCTGCTTGCCCTGTTCTGTGTTGGGTATTTTCGAGATAGGATCTCATGAACTATTTGTCCTGGCTGGCTTTGAGCTTTAATCCTCCTTATCTCTGCCTTCTGAGTAGCTAGGATTTCAGGCATGAGCCACCAGCGCCTGGCTATGCAACTTTTTAAAAACATTTTATAGCATATATTAATTGTACATAATAATGGGCTTCATTATGACATTTTCATCATCATATAACTATTTATAAAATATCGTACTGTGTAGAAACTAGCTGGGTTGTTAAAGAATCTAAACACCAGAATTCTTTCAAATGTGGCCTGAGGCCTGTTTTCATGGACAGCTGTTTGTGCAGCACTAGAAGCTAGATTCCTGTTCCTATGGTCACTTTTCCCAGACAGTCCCTCTTAGATAACTGCAATTTCACAGCAAATATTCACTAATTAGTTATTTCTTTCTTCATTGTTCCACAGAGAATAGAAACTGAAGGTCGCAATAGTGGTGACAGAAGTAATATTACCAAAGAATCTGGGAAAATCAATGAAGTTAAGGAGAGCAAAGGACAGCATGGAGCGATCCCGGGCAAAGGAAACACCAAAACACAAGGAGAGGTTGACCACACACAAGGGCCTGGCCAGAAGTCAGAACCTGGAAGCAAAGTAGGACCCAGCAAAGCAGGTAGTGGCAGCAATAGTGATGGATACGACAGTTACGATTTTGATGATGAATCCATGCAAGGAGATGACCCCAATAGCAGTGATGAGTCTAACGGAAGTGATGATGCTAACTCAGAAAGTGACAATGACAGCAGTGACCGAGGTGATGACACCCACAGCTCAGATGAATCCAAAGATAGTGGTGACAACAGTGACTCGAATGGAGGAGATAACGACAGTGATAGCACATCAGATGCCAATGGTAGTGACAGTAATGGCGATGGTGACAGTGAGAGTCATGATGATGATGAATTAGAAAGCAGTGATGTTAAATCAGAAAGCAGTGACAAAGATGACAGCAGTGATACTGACAGCAAGTCAGGCAGTAGTGACAGCAATGACAGCAGTGACAGTAGTGACAGCAGTGACAGCAGCAACAGCAGTAGTGACAGCAGTGACAGCAGTAGTGACAGCAGTAGTGACAGCAGTGACAGCAGACAGCAGTGACAGCAATAGTGACAGCAGTGACAGCAGCGACAGCAATAGTGACAGCAGTGACAGCAGCGACAGCAGTAGTGACAGCAGTGACAGCAGTGACAGCAGTGACAGCAGTGACAGCAATGACAGCAGTGACAGCAGTGACAGCAGTGATAGTAGCGACAGCAGTAGTGACAGCAGTGACAGTAGTGACAGCAGTGACAGCAATGACAGCAGTGACAGCAGCGACAGCAGTGACAGTAGCAATGGCAGTGAAAGTAGTGACAGCAGTGACAGTAGCAACAGTAGTGACAGTGACAGCAAATCAGACAGTGATAGTAGTGACAGTGACAGTAGCAACAGCAGTGACAGTGACAGCAAATCAGACAGTAGCGACAGCAGCAATAGCAGTGACAGTAATGACAACAAATCAGACAGCAGTGACAGTAGTGACAGTAGTGATAGCAGTGATAGCAGTGACAGCAGTGATAGTGACAGTAGCAATAGCAGTGAAAGTAGTGACAGCAGTGATAGCAGTGACAGTAGCAATAGCAGTGAAAGTAGTGACAGCAGTGACAGTAGTGACAGCAGTGGCAGTAGTGACAGCAGTGAAAGTAGTGAAAGTAGTGACAGTAGTGACAGCAGTGACAGCACTGACAGCAGCGACAGTAGTGATAGCAATGAAAATAGTGACAGTAGTGACAGCAGTGATGGCAGTGACAGCAGTGACAGTAGTGACAGCAGTGACAGCAGCAGCAGCAGTGACAATGATAGCACATCTGACAGCAGTGATGAGAGTGACAGCCAGAGCAAGTCTGGCAATGGCAAAAACAATGGAAGTGACGGTGACAGTGACAGTGAAGGCAGTGATAGCAACCACTCAACCAGTGATGATTAGAACAAATAAAACCCCACAAGACTCTTTTTTTGTAAAACTTTGGTGAATAATTGATAGGAAATAAGACTCCCCATAAAGTAAAGAAAGGAGAGAAACAATCAGGAGTCATACGTAAAATTTCACAGAAATAACTAGGAGAATCATACCAAAGTGTTGGATTAGGAACCAAGTCCCAACTCAGAATCTGAATCCATGACCTTTGGTGCATGTTCTGAAAATGTTTTGTTAAAAGTATAAATCTAAACAAAGCACATAAAAGAAAATTAAAATATTTAATACTTTACACAGACACCTCAATGAATCACTTACTATATGATAACTTCTATTGAAATATCAGGTGCTCTAGAAAGATAGGAAGCAAACTCATCTTACAAACAACTGAGGCGTCTGCTTGAGCCTTGGGTAGTCCTGCATCCTGGAGAGATAGTCTGCTTACTGTGAAGTAGAAGATGCTGTTTCTGTGACATCCAGCTTGGGCACTGATTCACTTGCTTGTTCTATGGAAGAAATTTATTTGTAACAAGAAAAAAGCCCAAAGCAACTCTTTAACTTATGTAGAGCTTGGGAATAATTTTTCTAATTATCAAATAAATTAGTTGTAAATAATCAACTCTGGAAATTCTGAAGAATGCTAGTTATAAAAGAATTCAGATGATGGTTTGAACAAAATTGAAGGTATGAAATTACATTTCTGCAAAGCACAGGAAAGTCAGTACAAAGTCCCTAACACCTGCAACAGTGCTTAGAAGAGTGTCTTGCTTCCAGTAGTCACTCTCCAAATATTAAGTAAATGAATACATGAATGAATGATTCTGGAGGTGGGGTCACTTTTTGAACTCTGTGCTCAGAACTGTGTTGTTAATTGTCTTTACATCAGTGTAACTAAAGTCAAACTTAATTTACATTTCCCTTTTAAACTTCAACATGCCTAAACTTTCAGACCAGAACCCAAGACTCCCTTTCCATTATTAATTAATCTCTTTAATAAAGCCAAAGTTTCTGGTGGGTAAGGCTTTGGAACACTTCTTTTTCTTATTTGAGATATGTACATATATGCTGTTAAGAGCTGAGCACAGATCATTCAGCCATTGTACAAAAGGGGATCATTCTTAGTCTTGAGATGAAGCCCAAACCCTAGTAAATTAGGATCTTAAAAGGGAATGGGAATAGATTTTTCTTTAATAGAGTGGAGACATAATTTATCATGAAAACTAGGGCATTTTTGAGAGTGAAAGGGGTGCTATGAGTAATTACATGGGAACAGAAGGTGTAAGTTGCAATTGTCCCAGGAAAACTGGGTGACACTATCTCTATAACACACAAGCCTTCTTGGTATTTTTCAAGATTTAGTGGTGATGCTTTGTAAGTCCCTCTTTTTCCACTAAGCAGTTATTTTATACTTGCTATAATTTGAAGCTAAAAATATGTACTCTGAAGTTATAAATGCAATTTCTTTAACATTAGTTTTCAGCCAATCTTTAGTTGGTAATTTATGTTCTAATATTAGGTGTACATTACACAGAGTTTCAGAGGATTTTCCTTTTCCTGCCTCTTTTTCCTCTTTTATGCAAGAGTTTCTTAGTTAAGAGATCAAAATTGCAAGGAATATTCTTGAAGGCTTTAAAAAATGCTGCTATTTGTAAACTACTTTGTAACTCCCAATACTGTAAAATGTCAGATGTCAGTTATACCATGGTCATGTAATAACTCCAAACTTCGTACCTTAAAATATGGCCTAGGTTATAAATTTTCTTAGACTGCAGGATTGTTTGTTTGTTTTGTTTTAGCTTGTAATGTGCAGCTTCTAGCATTTGTCACATTCATTCAAAAGGTTGTCATGAGTACTAAGTCGGCAATGGATATGGAACTCTTTGTGACCTGTACAAGATATGTAAATGAAGAGATAATGAATTTCAGGGTTAAAATAAACATCTATTTATACAATTGCTCACAAGGAAAACTCTTCTCATCCTATTGAGTTTGCCAATACTTGCCCTCTCTCCCCCAAAATCTGATGTATGATATAATATTTCTTTAAATGCTAGCTGTTTTTAATTGATAAAGTGATACATGTATATGCACAAAATATAAACTTTAAACACCATAAAATATGAAAATTTTTGTATACAAAATATGAAAACTTCACTACTCTAGACTCTCAGACCTCTATTTCTCTTCCTGAGAGGCAATTGCCTTGTTTCTCCATCACTTTTTTGTAAGTGGTTTCTAGTCCAATGAGTGTCTTCAGATGTCACCTGAGATAAGGGCCCAAGTCAGGTAAATTCTTAACTAGTTCTTAGGAAGACTTCACCTTAAGAAAGTATTTCTAATAGGTCAGATGGTCAGGATCTAGGGCTGCTGTCAGAAATCATGAAGGAAGACTATAATCCTCGTTTTCTTAATAATCACATCTGAATTGACTTCTGACTTCTCAAGTCAAGAATGGAGGAGAAACATTCCAAAGGAATATCTCAAGAGTTGGCCATCTAGACACAAGAAAAATATTTTCAGGAATAAAGACTGATAAGCTCTCTCTTAATATTGCTCACAAGAGCAGAATTTTTTAAACTGCAGGCTGCCAGTTGTTTAGCAACTTGTATCAATTTATTCAGTTATCACAAGCATTTTATAAAGTAAATCATAAAGGAGAAAACCCATAGTGCATCATAGGTAGTGTGTTGTGAAGCTCATCAATTCTATCTCTAGATACACTCACACACAAATATGTCTAAGTATACATATACTAGGTTGATTGCAGCAAAAATGTTTGATAGCCAATGGTTTAGGAAAGCATAGCTGTTAATAGTCATTTCATATTTACTTTACATATTCATTTTGTCCTTACAAACCTTTAAGTTTCTTTTCCCAGTTTGAAACAGAGATTTAAAACACAAAGGAAGGAAGAAAAAAAGAAGAAAGGAAGAAAAGAAGGGAGGGAAGGAAGGAAGGAAGGAAGGAAGGAAGGAAGAATAGTGTAGATGTGGCAAGGGAAAAGAAGAGTGCTGGTGGTGGCCTGGATTTATTTGTGCCAAGGGCCAAGGTGATGTGGTCACACTTGAGCAAGAGGTTCTCATGATTGTGCTGGTGGATTTGTTGTGAATTCAAACTGTCTTTCTGGCTACAGGGGTTACTCCATGTATGACTGAAGACACAAGATCTTAAAACTGGCTCTCAGATTGTCATGTCCTTTCCATCTGACCTGGAAATTCCTTTTGCACTTGATCAGACCATTAATCAGGAAACATAGTAAGAGGTTTTAGTTGTGGTTGTTGTTGCTGATATTTTAAATCTGTTTCTTACATGGAAGATAACTTTTAGGAAGTCATACCTCACCATATAAATGCAGTTTAAATTATTAGCTGGAGTGGAATTTCCCAGAAATGAAACTTCCCTTATGTTTTTAATAGAAATTTTGAAAATCTGTATACAAAAATAATCAGAAACAATTTTCCTGTCCCTAAAAGGAGCAGGAACAGAATAAAATAGTGCAGTCATAGATGAGAATATTCATTGTGTTCTCATAGTGATCCATTCTCTGTTCCTTGGAAGCAAATCCTCTAGAGAATGTAATGAGTCAACTACACAATGTTCCCAACCCCTGCCCTCTGAACAGGGATCTTGGACTCAGATACAGAAAAGTGTGTGTATGTGTGTGTGTGTGTGTGTGTGTGTGTGTGTGTGCGTGTGAGTTCCTATGAGCACTCGTGTAGCTTAGAAAAATAGTCTAAAGTCTACAGATCATTGTAAGTTAGACTTGGAATGTTTTGCTTTAGTTTCCATGGTCCTTACTCTAGCCTGAAACACTGAACTGACAGTTTTTCATAGGCTGTTTCCCTTATTGCCACAACCATTATTTCAGGCTTTGCCACTGGCCTTACCCTCCCTCCTCTACCTATTAATCCTCCTCCCCTCACTTCCAGCCTTTTTCTCTTCAAAGATATAAAGAAATCTCTGTGGGAGCAAAAACTTATCCTTTGTAAAATTGAGTTTCCAGGTGTCTTTCTATGTGAGAAGCCAAACTCCTCCCCAGGACTGCTGAGCTCAGACTTAAGTCCTTGGCCCTTTCACATACTCTTGGGTTTCAGCCTCAACCAGTGATTCCTACCTCCTACCTTCCTTTACTTTTGTCAGTTGAAATGATTGAATCCTTTTTTGCTCAGCTAACTCTGTTTCTACATCTTGAGACATGAGAGATACACAGGCTGTATCTCTCAGGTGTGGCACCGTGGCATTGACTTCTAGTCTTATACTAATATCCTGATTGTGGTAAGTGGGCTCTTACCACAAGGTAAGGTGGTCTCTTACCTTTTCCCCAAGTGACAATCCCTTTGAGTGACCTGATCTTCAGATTGGGCTTCTGAACTGCTTCTCCATCCTGTTCTGTAATGGCTTAGTATTTTCCCAGCTTGGCCAGTTTGAGAACTCCAGCAGCAAAGTTGTTGAGTTTACCTGTTCAGTGAAATGAAGTGGAGACTACATGCCAGAGCCACCATGGTTGTCTTAGCAAAGGAAAAGACAGAATTATTATAGAGTGGGGAAAGGACAAAATTTAAATTATATTGATATTTGAGAAGCTCTAAAAAAAGCAAGGAAAGGGGTCCAAATCAGATTTGTTCTGGGAAGTAGACCAGGTTCCTGTCTCTTTGAAAAGTACAAAGCTGAGATGAATGTGGACTGTTGTGTCCACTTAATCTCTTACCTGCATCTCTGTACCTGGGTTAGAATTGAGGCTCCTTCTCTGTGTCGGAGGGGTTTGGATGCACCAGGTAAGAGTGGAGTGCTTTATTCTTACTGACCTAAGCTCCAACAGCAAAATTTCCAGTAATTTTTGATTTTAGAAGATGTGTCTCAGTGGTTAAAAAGGCAGGAGTCATTCCAGGAAGAGGGTAGTTATGAGTCTTTCACCTTCAGCATCCTTGAGAGAGATGTTATCTCATGATGATTGCAGCAGCTTTATCTATTTTTCCAGTCTGATGAATGTAGGGCTAGTTTTTACTTTC